GCATGCAGAAATAATGGAAAATCAGCATTCTTTTGAAAGATTCTGTGGCCTAAGTAAAGGTTTCTAATATTAGAGCAACCTGCCTACTCTCCTGCTCCTTTTACAGGAGGCTGTGGCTCCTGTGTGGTCCCTGCCAACCTGCCCACACTGAAGCAGCAAGAGAGGGTTCAGCTGTTCAGCTGTTATTGGTGCACCATACCTGTAACACACCTGCTACATTTAGTGTAAATTGCAACTGGAATTGGTTTTCCTACCAAAAAATTATGATGAGTGTTCACTATTGGTCATTGCCACTGGTAATTTTAAAAAAAAAAATTCTTGTCCCTGTTCTCTACTTTGTTCATAAGAGTGATGCTAATTCAAATGAGAAAAGGGTTCTGTGAGCAAAACTTCCCTATCCTTGTGCATGTTTTCYTCACTATATACAGACTATATTTAATCTTAATTTCACAGTCCCTTTCCAAGCTATTGAATTTTGTCTTTCTGACAGGACGGTGGAGGAGATTTTCCAAGAAGTATTGAAAGCATGGCATGACCGCTGTGAGCAGATTGTGCGTTTATTCTTCATTATATACCTCATCCAGACTAGAAAAAGCGTAGTTCACCACATAYACATACATCTCCAATCTTAACAATTTTCCCTGCACTCTGACTGCCTGATCCTTCCCAAAGACTATTCCATCACTCAAGACTATCAGCAAGGGAATGGAAGGGAAGGTAATGTCCATTTCCCTCCTAATTCCATACACCACTCCCTTCGTATTGCTGCTATGATGTCAATATACTTGTGCCAATATCCTTTTTATTCTTTACACTAACAAATCCTTGTGTAAGTCGTATGACATAGTAGATTTATAGGGATAAATTTTTATTTATATTTGAAGTTACTCGTTTCTGCAAGCCATAATCCCAGAACTATTATTGTTGCTAAATTGACACAAAAACTCTGATTCCCTTATCTGAGGTATAGAAGCATAACAAGAACACTGGACAAGTTGAATTGTTCTGATATCATTGAATATACCAGTTATTGGTTAATTAAGAACTCTTTAAACTCGTTTTGGAATGTTCTATTCAAAACAAAGCAGTCAAGAAGATGTTTACAAGATGTTAGCAAATTCTTGAAATTAATATATGGCTCTATTTCTTCTAAAGATGTCAAAATGTGAGCTGGGGTGTGGTATAGAAACTGACCTACATGAACTATGCAGCAGTAGCATGGACTTGGGCAATGTAGACTTTGTCATGGTTTTTATTATCAGAAGGAGTAAAACACATCTCTTTGGTTATTTCCATATTCAGTACTTTTATTCCTATAAGAAATAAATAATAGAGCAAAAAATCTCAGGAGATAAACGATGAGTGAAGCTGGTTAAGATGGTTTCATGACTTAGAGTTGAAACTGTGGTCAGTAGAGAGGTGGGACTGTAATAGCTCATGGCAATGAGTGGTACACCTGGCATGCGTGCATCTGTCTGCTCATCATTTTAGTTTCAAGGTGCTGTAGCACCTTATTGCTACTGCTACAATGAAATGGTAAGGAAATGCCTTATTAAGTTTAGCTTAACATTATTAAAAACAAAACAGTAATTATGAGGCATCACAAATGAAAGAGAAAACAAGAGGCTTATAACAATTTTGTAACACAATTCATCCTTGACCACCATGACCTGTTATTCACCTGGGCTTTGATGAGTAAAATAATCTCTATGTTTGTGACCTTTACAGCCAGAGTTAGAAGGAAGAAGTAAAAAGGAAAGGGGGGAGGGTGGAGAGGGGAAGAAATACATAGGAAAACAAGAGGAGCGTCCAAAGTTTATCTGTGTTCTGTCTCCATGTTTATCTATGTTTGTAACAACAAAATTATACATGAGTAAACAAGTACAAAGGAAAGAGTCATTGCAAATGGGGAAACACATTTCATGTCACCACTCAATCATGGTCTTTGCTGTTAACTGGAAAAATTCAGTCAGCTTGATCCATCAGCTTTTTATTCCTGTTGAGAAAAGTTAATAGAAACAAGCAGCACCTGTTTTCATCTGCACAATTTAGAAGTGTGTGAGAGGGCAAGGAGAATGAGCAGTGGGTGCGCACATGCAGAATGCCAGCGAGTGGGAGTAAACAGCCTGCTGCTTGTATTCCCACCAGCTGCCCCAGGCAGTAACTGAGAGACACCCAGAACTGTGATAGATGAAGGTACCTCATCAGCCAGGGTGGGAAACACATCATGCAAACATGTCTGTCACGTACCCTCTCTGTGGTATTGAGCTGCAGAAGTGAGAAGGTAGAGGCATTTCCTTTGTCATCCATATCCAGGCTGAGGATCATGAAGAAGATTTGCCTCTGGACAGATTTTGGAAGAGCACGGAGCTGATGTGATATGCAGCTGCCAGTTCCATATACACTTCATCACAGCACAGAAAGTCTGACTTCTGGCACAGAGAGTTAACTCCTGTTTCCAGTGATTCCAGTAGGGTGCTACTCACACAGCATTTGTGCTAAAGCTCCTCTGCGCAGCCAGAGGCAACCAAGAGGATGTCACAGCTGTTGTTCAAATGGCTGAAGATTGTCAGCTTCTTTGGCTCCATAACTGAGATGATCCTTGCGAACCCTGTTTCATCAATATTTGCTTTGTTTCCTCCTTTTTTTTTGGTTGGCTCTAATTTTTATCAGGCCTATGTAATGTTTAACAACTCTAATTATGCAGAAGATGGTGAAGGTGTATAAGTAACAGTGTGGGGAATGGCATGATCAGCTGAACGCAACAGGGCTTCTGATTTTGTAAGTATATCACATTAATTTTTCTTAGAGACTTACAAATGATACTTTCTGTGGTCAGTGGAATGTTATCATTAGGTTAATTTCATTTGTCTGCTTATGATTTGGTTCTGTGTGGATGTTGCAATAAAATATTAACCAAGAAGATGTGCAAGGGACCAGTGGGACCTGCTGTTCTAGGGGAATATGCTTAGCCTGAAATCAAACTGAAAAACCCTTTGAAGTCATGGGGACTTATTAAGTAGTTGTTAAAACAGAATACTGATGTAATCACCTTTCAGGTTGGAAACAGCCTTCGCAGTGACTCAAAATTAGTATAATCCCACTAGTGACTGAACAACTAGGTCCAATTTATAAACTCTTCTGGTGACTTAATTTATAAAGCAACAATTGAATTGCTAAAGCCAGGCTCTCTAATTAGGACTGGGGTGAGAACAGGGGGTGGGTCACAATTTAAATTTAATTGCCCCTTTTATTCCTATAGACAAACTAATATGTGGTCTGGAAGAGAACTATTTTCTGCATTTCCAATTTGCATTTTTTTTTGTTGGTTTTTTTTTTGTTGGGTTTAATAAAGTCTTGCTAATTTCTTCAGCTTTGAAATGTTAACAGAAATATTTGTGTCTGAATTTTTTTAATCTCAAAATGTTGAAATTAACCTTTGAAATGTTAACCTTTGAAATTAACCTTCCTTTCCTTTCCTTTGAAATTAACCTTCCTTTCCTCTGAAGGGAAAAGTATGTGAGGAAAATTAGCTGACAATATTCACTGTTTTCTAGCTTTTGATAGAAGTACTTCTTTTAGATTTCTGTGGAGACCTGTGATACCAGGAGTTTTTAAACTGATCTGTATGGCAGAAGTTAAAAACAGAGCCATGCCTAACACAGGTTTGCTGCAAAAAAAAAACCCCAAAAAACCCCTAAACCATACTCTTTGCTTCAGAAATTCTTTAAAATGTAGGCTAAGTTCTGTATGGACACAGGAAGTAACCATGGAGAGAAAAAAAAAAATCTCCTTTCTCACTTAAATGTGCAATATCTCAAATAACTAGAGAAAAAGACTATGAGGTGATAACCATCAAGTACTTTTGAAACATCTTTTGTTCTATATTTCTTCTTTTTCAACTACATTAGGGTTTGTTTGGGTTTTGGTTTTTTGTGAGGTTTTTTTTGGCTGTGAAGAAGCAGCAGAGTTCTGCTTACAAGAGACTGAAAYAGTTAAATCATATTCCTATCTAGGGCCATACTCCATCTTTCGGTTTAAAGGAATTCAAATTTAGTGGTCCCACTTGTTACTGCGGGTCACTGCAGTGGGCTCTTGCTGATCTCAGGCAGACTCAGTGTACTCAGATCCTGGCAAATATAAGAACACACAGCCATCTATATGTTTACTATGAAAATAAGAAAGACCATTGACAAAAATAAAACACCTGGTTAATCASTAAGAATCCTTGAACTTGAGCTGCCCTCAGAAAATCTAAATCTTTAGATACAGCCTAGGAATGAATGAAAGATCAAGAGAACTTTACCATGGACATGGTAAAATACAATCCTGAAAAAAAAGAATGTGAACGGGCTGCATTGGATGGAAACCAGAAGAGGAACTGTTACAGTGAAAAAGTTCTAGAAATGTTTTCATACAGAAACTGCAAGGGCAAAAAGCTTATTTTCATCTATAGTTTGTTACGGTTCTGAAGGGAGTTTATTTGAGAAGGCTCCCCAGAACTGCAGAGAACTCAATTCGGTAAGCCAGAAACTTGCTCCAGTTTCTGTAGAGAGCAGGGGGTGCATGTGAAGTATATCATGTCAGCTTTAAGAGATCAAGAACAATGAAGAAGCTTGTCATCTCTAAGGGAATTAATCTCTGTCCTTTGATTACCGAGTGGGATCAGTGCTCCTCTTCCTCTTTGACCCAGTTCCTCCCCACATCCCATGCAGGTTAACCCATGGTGAGGGGCAAACCAGCATTTGAGGAGTCATAAACACGTTTTGTGGCTCCCCCAAAAGGAGGATTCCTGCATTCCAAATGTGCATTATCTGGATGCAAACCTGCTGCTTGCCACATGTCATTGTGCCCACGCTATGCAAACTGCTGTCATGGCACAGGATTCTCCAGATTTTAGGATGCTCCAGACTTCTGCCTTGAATTCTGCCTTGTTCATGTTCATGTTCATGTTCATGTTCATGTTCATGTTCATGTTCATGTTCATGTAGATGACTTTCTACCATCACTTACCAGCTGTGGCCAGTAACTGGCCATGTGAGCAAGTAACCACAAAGTGAACAGGGGTGTGAATTTAACAAGAATCAGATAGTCCATGGTAGCTGTCTGTCCATGTGCTGCTGCCCTGAGCAAAGTGAGGGAATTTACCCCAATTCCAGTGAGTAATGAGGTGCCCCACATTTCCTTACATTTATCAAGTTGCTTTTGGGCAGATGCAGTAGAGTATTTGATGTTTTTGAAACCCACACCCTGTCCTACCTCGTGGTAACCTGTTTGTTTGGATGTACCCTAGAGCAGACAATGATCATGGGAAAATAATGTCATTGTTAAAAAATATTATTGTGGACTGTAGCTTTATATTTTCATTGCCAGTGGAAAAAAATATTGTCTTTTCAGAGCAGTTACCATCATGGAATATTATGGTTTTATTATGCCTGACATTTGAACCTGGTTGAATCTGAATTTAAATAAATTTGAAATTGTGCCCATCAGAACTTTGGGCATCCTACGTACATTAGACATTTACAGTTGAACTATGAAACATTTATGCTAACAAACTATTCATTATTTCTTACTACCAAGCACATCATTACCATCTGCTCATTTAATGACTGTTTATTTTGTGACAGAATGATTTGAAATGAAGATGMAGTGTCTCCTGTGCCTGTGTTTACTCCTTGTGCTGTAATCCATTGCTGCCCTGAAGACATTTGCCGTGAGGTCAACAATATAAAACTGCAGGATGGAACAGAAAATTTATTAACATATAGCTGTGACAAGCAAGGCCCTAACTACGCAGATTTTGCATTTAGATTTTACAAGCAGGCTGCATCAAAAGAAGYTGATCAAAATGTTTTCTTTTCTCCCATGAGTATCTCCACTGCCTTTGCYATGCTGGCTGTTGGTGCAAAGTCAACCACTCTGTCTCAGGTTTTGGAAGGACTGGGCTTTGACAACCTGACTGATACTCGTATACGTGATGTACATGAAAGTTTTCACAGAGTTTTATCAGTACTGAACTGTGCTGATGTTAACATCACATTAAATATAGGGAATGCTCTTTTTACAGATACTGGGTATCAACCACAGGAGTCATTTTTACAAAATACCAAACAATTTTATGATGCAGATTTTTTTTCTAGTAATTTTCATAAACCAGGAGAAGCTACAATGCAAATCAATAAATATGTAGAGGAGAAAAYCAAGGGGAAAATTCCTGAATTAGTTGGTCATCTTGACCCAAGTACCGTACTGGTTCTTGTTAACTATATTTATTTTAAAGGTAAGATATTCACCAYAACATTTCAATAGATGGTTTTGATATGAAATAGAAATTTTAGGGAACTTGTGATGATTCATTACCAGAGTGACTATTTAGGAAAGAAAATAGTCTGTGCAGGACATCCAAAGTAAAAATTAGATCTAGCCAAGAGCAGGGTATCTGTTGAGCAATACTGATTGTTTAGTTTTGACCCAATTTGCTTGAAAGCTGTGGACAGAGAAATTCCATGCTAGTGGATGCCCCATAGACAGGGATTCACATGGTCTCACTGGTCTGAGGCCATAATGACTAAAGATGTGTCCAAGGTCTCTATGCTGACTGTACATGACAGTCAAATTTAGTGGATGGACATCCTTGCACAGGGAYCCCAGTGTTATGGCTGATCTACCAGGTGCTCTGCATGAAAACCTARGACAAAGCATCTTGAGGGCCTGTCCTCTGGATCTTTGCTCAAATGTAAGAGCTTTTTGATTGCTGATTAGTTCCACCCCAGGCTGAGTGCAATCAGCTTGCATGGGGTATGGCTTAACAGAAAAGGCAGAAGGTCCTGTGACTGAATACTTAACTGATTGCATTCAAATGGCATAAGTGCATCRCATATGGTTACAGTAGAAGAAGGACTCTCAAATGGTCACCAACCTTTGGTTGTTCTTCAGCAAGACAGGACTCACACTGACTATGCTGAGCTTACTGCACAGCTAAAATGCTTTATTGTGTGCTATGCAGGAGGCTGAAGTGATTTAGTAAACCTCTTCTCCCATCAATATACCTCCAGCGCCCTACATTAAAGCTGGTCTAATTTAGACGAGCCATTCTTTATGATCTTCATGTTTGCGTGCAGCATCAACTCTTTTCCCCCCTTAGCTGCCTGGGAAAAGTCTTTCGATCCTTCGGATACGTATGAGGATGATTTTCTTGTGACCCCAAATGCGTCCGTTAGAGTCAACATGATGCAGCGTGATGGTTCTGCTAAATGGTACCACGATCAGGATCTCTCCTGTGAGATGCTGGAGCTGCCTTACCAGGGCACTGCACGAGCACTGCTTATTCTGCCTGATGATGGAAAGATGAAGCAAGTGGAAGATGCTCTCTCCAAGGAAACTGTTTGTAAATGGGACAGCCAACTTGTGACCAGGTAACTCTAGGGATATGAATTGTTATATTTCACCTTGCTGTTTTTAAGAGAAAATGCCAATTTCAGATTGCCTCCTACTGGACATAATGTCCTGATTTTGTAAAGGGGAGTTTTAAGCAATTCCCCAAATGAGTCAGAGCAGAGCATAATTGCTAAGAAACTGACAGAAGGGGCCACGGCATTGTAACAGCTGCCTCAAGACTTGCTTGACTACCTTTTGACTTCATACCTCTTCTTTCGTGGTGTTAGCAGGACTCATTTCCTTGATTATATCTTGGATTTTATCCTCCTTTCCCCATACTTTAGGCTTTCCACTGTTGGTCTGCTTATTCTCTGCAACCCTCTAGCCAAAAAACTCTGCTAGCTGTGTATGTGGCACTATGATGAAAGAGCAGCAATGAAATAATTTGCTTCTTTTCCTCAAATCACATAGGCAATGTAGATAAAAGAAGATGGTGCATCACTCAAGATGCCAAAATTGCTCAAGGAATACAAAGGCTACCATCAAACAAATTTCCAATCAAAAGAATGCTTTCAAGTGTCACTGAATTGCTTACTAGGCTGGAACGAGGCTGCAAGGSCTCACTGCTCTTTTGTTTTCTTTGATCAACAGGAGATTAAATCTGCAGTTACCCAAGTTTTCTATTAGTGGGTCTTATGATGTTAAAACCCTGTTGGAGGAAATGGGCATTACTGAAGTGTTCTCAGGCAATGCTGATCTGTCTGGAATTAGCAGCAATCGCAATCTCCAGGTTTCACAAGTAAGTAAACAGACACAGCTGATGATGGGATGGTGGTTGGTTGTTTTGATCAGTTGTGTCTGGGGTTTTTAAAGCCTTTCTTTCCCTCTTTATATTACTGAAATTATAAGTAAAACTCACAATGACAAGTATGGGCTGGCTTAGCAATTGTGCTTTTCTACAGAAGGAATCTGCTAGCTCACTTTTGCATTACTTTAGTATTGCTATTAAAAGACTGGATATTAAATACATAGAAAATCTGGACAACATTTTAAATTATTTCTCGGCACTGGAATATAATAGTTTAAATAAAATTGTGTCAAATAAACTACAAATGAGGTTTTAGTCATCAGTCATGATATTTGTGTTAATACCTAATTTTTTAATATTCTTAAAGTTTTCAGGAAGTCTCCAGTTTACAGTAGCAGAATTTCACCATGTCTCTTTAAGCTATGATTTAATACTAAAGATGCCAAAKACTGCCCCTGTATTAGCATTTAAATAGCAGTCTTTAATTAATGCTGAAATAAGAGAAAGTGTTGCTAGTAGAAGTCCAAACCATCTAAGAAAATAAACTAGCTTGTGCGTGGGGTATTATTATCCACATCTACTCAGCACTGGTGAGAATGCATTTACAGTGTGTCCATGTTTATTTTTGRCCCTCCTTGTTCAGTCCTGGCATAGAAAATTCTCCTGTTTCAAGCTGTTGGAGATCTATCATAAAGTTTCATCCACTGGATTTATTACTSTTTTCTTCTCTTAAATATTCCATAAGAAGAATATTAATTTTACTCCTGCTTCCTGTCCCATATATTAACCACAGTGTTTTCTCCTATTCCCTGCAGGCAATTCACAAGGCCTTGCTGGAAGTTGATGAGGCTGGAACTGAAGCTGCAGGAGCCACTGCTGTAATTGTTACCAAAGTTTTCCATCCTACTGTTGTCATCAAATTCAACAGGCCCTTCCTTGTTTTCATCTCTAACAACCAAACCATGCTTTTCATGGGGAAAGTTGTTGATCCTACTAAGGAGTAATTGCTGGGTTATTTGGCATATTCATATTGGGCATGATTTATAAAGGTACCTCCTTTGCACTTGTGGGCTAGTTAGTGCTACTAACTAGTACCYGATTGAGGGATATTCAGAAGTAAATGGGAAATTTTCTAATCCAAATAATAAGCAAAAAGTTATGAAAAATTGCCATCAACTGACACTTTTAAAATGTGACATTTTCTCCAGCTGAATAAATGTATTGGCTTTACATGGTGAGGTTTTGGTAGTGGGGGCCTGTAGAGGTTGCTTCTCTAAGAAGCTGCCAGAAGCTTCCCCCATACCTGACAGAGCCACTGCCTGCCTGCTCCAAGATGGATCTGCTGCTGCTGTGGGCTGAGCCAAAYGGGAATTATAGTAACACTTCTCTGGTAACATATTTAAGAAGGGAATAAAGTCATTTCACAGAACTAATTGAGGCCAGAGGAATGTAGAGTGAGAAAAAGACAGAAACATTCCTGCAGACACCAAGATCAGTGAGGAAGGAGGGGAGGAAGTGCTTCAGGTGCCAGAGCAAAGATCCACCTGCAGCCCATGGTGCAGAGCATGGTGAGCAGGCTGTCACTGTGCAGCCCTTTGAGCTCCATGGGAAAGCTGAGATCCGCCTACAGCCCGTGGAGAGGGCACACACGGGCCTAGATGGATGCCCAAAGAAGGTTGTGACCCCATGGGATGCCCGTGCTGGGGCAGGCTCCGGGCAGGACCTGCAGACCCATGAAGAGAGGATTCCATGCTATGGCAGGTTTGCTGGCKGGACTTGTGATCCCATGGGGGACCYATGCAGGAGCAGCCTGTTCCTGAAGGACTGACTGCACCCTGTGGAAGGAACCCATGCTGGAGCAGCTCATGGAAGACTGTGGTCCATGGGAAGGACTCACACTGGAGAAGTTTGTGGGGAACTGTTTCTTGGGTGAGGGGTCCCAGGCTGGAGCAGGAGAAAGACTCTCTGTGAGGAGGAAGCAGTAGCAGAAACAACGTATGATGAACTGACCCTAACCCCTATTGCCTCTCTCTCTGAGCAGGGGCAAAGATGTTTTTAAGATTTATTCTCATTATCCTGTTCTGGTTTTGATTGGTAATAAATTCAATTAATTTTTCCAAGTCAAGTCTTGTGACATAGTAAGTTTGTGATATCTCCCTATTCTTATCTCAATTAATGAACTTTTGCTTTTATTTTCTCTGCATTGCCCAGTTGAGGAAAGGAGTGATAGAGTTAGTTGCATTTGTTATCCAACCAGGGTCAAAACACCATAACAATTCAATTAATTAGTACTCTTTCCAAACTTTCCATGGAAGATAACTTTTTTTTAAAGTATGTTGTATTTAAAACATAATCTATTCCCTCTGCTTTCAATTCTGGGGTTCTCACCAAAAGCTTTATCCCAACATGTAACAAGTTTTGTAATTCTACTGTTTCTTCTCCAGAATTCACCTAAGCTGGTCCCTATAGAATCCTTTCCTCCTTACATCACTCTTTGCTGCCTAGGCTGTTGTTTATCCTCAACCAACCTGTTCTCTCCCACATGTTCCAACTCTTGGCGTAGGACCTCTTAAGAAATCACTGACAAAAAAAAAAAAGAGAATAATCCCTGAAACAATAGACTTACTCTGATGTATCTCTTACTGTAAGTGCCTCTTCATACTCCACAAGGTCAGCCTAAAACATTGAGATGGTGACATTAGGGATAGCATGAACTGTCAAAGAATTGTCTGTGACAAATGTAATTCRTGAATAATTGCTGTGGTTGATCAATAAAATACCTTATTTAATTAAAATATGTCACTGAAGGAACTACTCCAGTCTCTTACTATCATCCTGTAAATCTCTTAAAATCAACAAAAACCTTCAGTCACTCTTATTAACATGGCAGGCTATATGTAAAATGTGACTTAAAGACTGTTAAATGAGTACAACTTTTCTCACACRGAAACTGCAACTCTTTAAATCCTCTCTTTATGTCCCTCCTTGGGTAAAACTTGTTTTCAAGAAATACCTAAACACTTTCTTGCTGTTGTGTGTCTGTAAATCACCCATTCTTACTGCAGTGGAGCACTGGGACTAAACTCAATAGCAAACCATTTACTGCGCAGCTGCTGCCTCGAGGACAGGCTGGCTTTGACAACTTCTCTCTCACTGCACTGCTTTTGTGCCATCACATATTGATCTTGGATGCATTTTTTTTTTTTTTGCCACAGGAGTTGAGTCCCCCTCTCTAGGAAGATGATGCTTCTGAACACACACTGCTCGTTCCTACAGTGATCCTGGCAGTGTGTTGTGAGCCTTGCAAAGGTAAAGCAACCCCCAAATCAACAAACGAGCTCCCCAGCCCTGACATCTCTCTGGCYTTCTGAGCTGCTCTCCCAAACTTGGCCCACCTTACTAAGAGGGGCTTTACAGGACCCCATTGGTGCTTGTAGGATGGGTTGGTGTTTGGGGAGCTGAGCTTCTGACTCAGGGGTCTTGACTGCTCCTTGTATGAGTCTYTTTGCTCCAAGTGGCCAGAACTTGGTGGAAGCCCTGAGCTATTTCTGGTCATGGGGCAAGATGCCATCACTCAGTGGACTGGGAGAGACCACACCTCTGTGCAGAGCAGCAGCTTTCAAAGAGAAGAGATCAGTGATAACTTGCTGTGGAGTGAGGCAGCCTGCTCTGCAGTGTCTATACAAACTCAACAAGAGCTGGGAGCAGCTCCCGTGAGATCCCATCCTGATAAATCTGTGCACCAGGACTGATTAGAAGGTAGGATGGTGAGATTTTGATCAGAGCCATGAGATTTTTATCAGAGTGTGCTGGCAGAAAAACAGGTTCYTGGCCTGTTGCTAAAGGGAAAGAAGTTAGGAAAAATCCCATGGTTGCTAGGACAGAACAAAAGCTTTGGGAAATAACACATGGAGCAWCTTCCTGCCCCATCTACCTCCCAGGCCTTCAGTTTTGAGATGGCAGGATGAGAGCTGCATTGGTAGTTTCTATACTGGACTGTGAAGAATGGCTGCTACTAGCAAAAACACAAAATGGGAACCTCTGGATGCTGATTTGGGAGTTATTCACTAGGTTGTGGGGCATCTCTACAGTTTTCCTCCAGCTGAGTGACCTCATGCTCCAGACCAGAAGAGTGACCCGAGTTGTGGCAAGGCCTGGGGGTAGGAAGACATCATCTTAAATCTCTCTGGAAGGGGATGATGTCTAAGGGACAGGAAATGAAAAAATCTTGTGCCAAACACACACCAAAAGCAGTAAAATGCCTATAGCTCACAGCAGGAAAATCTATAGAGGGTGGGCACTGAATATGCCTCACTGGTGTTACTCTCGGCACTGTTCTGATAATATTCTTAAGGAACTGGACAGTTCTGTAAAACTTTTGTAGGGAGATGGAGTATTATTTCCTAATTCCAAGAAAATCTGTCTTGGTTTGCTTTGCATCATTTTTCCTTGCAGCTGTTTTTTTTCGTCTTAAAATGTGATAGAGAGCCCTCTTCATTCTGTTATTGCTATTAAGGGTAGAGAAGAAAGGAAGAATTCTGATAGTCATAAATAGCTAAACCTTATATTTAGGGACTGTRTATTCAACCTGTGGTAAACACACGTATTTTATGGTGTCTCTCATCCATCTGTAGATGTTTTTATTAACACCTTTTAATATTCCTCTACAATTCTCACTCATGAGGTTCTCTCAACCTATGGGGCAGCTGAATCTAAACTAAGCATTGAAAGAAAACTAGACCTTCTTTATAACCTAAAAGTTATAACCTTTATAACCTAATCCACCTGACTGTCAGCAGAAGGGGATAATAGAGCTTACAGCAAAGTATGTGACCACCTATAATAAACACCCAAGGCCTGCTGTGGGTCTATGAGCCAGGATATGACACATTTATAGGAAGTTATGAGGAAAAGAGTAAGTTCTCCAAGAGAGAGCATATCTCAGCTAAGAACCTCTGTGAGGAAAGATGGACCCATTGGCCTGGGTCCCTGAAAGGCAGCCTAGCTGTGCCCCAGCAGACCCAAGGGCCAAACTTCTCCTGGCAGCCCACGAGCCATGTGGGAGACTGAAAGTTTGTTCTGTCTGACCTTGTTTATGGTCCAGTGGGACTCTGCCTGATGACAGGATATCTTCTGCCAGTGTCTCTCTGTTTGCTTTGCCCCATGGCAGAGTCCATGTAGAACGATGTTATAAAACACGAAGCAGTGGGATTGCAGGGCTGATGCAGTGTGAGTTCCTCTCACCAGCAAGGAGAAGCRTCACCTTCATTCCAAAAGGCACAAAGCATTTGGATGCTGCAGCAGCACCAGTTGCTCACATGAACTCTGCTATTCAGATGCTACCAGTGCTTTGGATTAATCCCCATCCATGGAATTTGAGTCTGAGCCCTGGTGTCTGGAATGCTTTGAATGGGAACACCTGTCCTGTCCCCACAGCTGTGTCATCTGCACAGCCCTTGGTCTCTGCTGTTATTACAAGGAAATGGGTATTCACAYAGATTGCAAGACGACCCTATTCTATATGTTTCAGTAGATTCAGTGCAGCAAAAGTTGCAGGCATTTTCCTTGTAGTCATACTAATTTCAAGCAGAGAATCACTAAGCTCTTAACAAACAGATGATTGTGATAGTTTCCAGGAAGGGTAAGTTTTGAATGGGGCTTCTGAGTACCCAGCTGCTCATCTTTGACATGAATCTTGGTAGCTTTTGGCGGTATGAAAAAAATCTCAAAACAGTGAGGTTAATCCCTAATCCAGCATTCAAATCATGCCTCCTAGAGGCACTAAGATTTCCAATCACAGAAAACGTGCAAGAGAAACATGAACATTCTTAAACTAACCTTTTGCTAGAAAACTCTAAATATTTACTGCAGTGGGATTTAGAATAAATGCAAATTATCAAGAGCAAAAAAAGGATGAAGAGTACATGGGCTGTGTACCACTGAGTCCTGTAACACATCCTTCAAATCTTACCCATCCATACAACATTCCTGGGTGGGTACTGCATGTTTGCCCTTACCCCCATGGGGATGCTTTCATTAGACGAAAACCAAGCATGTATATGATTTCATTCATTCCCTTTACACTGATCTAGAAATATCCTTCAGAAAGTTCCCAGTCCCAGGTATAACAGTGAAACCATTTTTAAATAATTTGGTAACTGTACTTTCCTCAGACTGACAGTTTTAAGGAAAACTATAATTCACCCATTTCATGTAGATGTCCTYGATTATGATTAAAACGCTGGTTACACAAACTTAG